CTCTCCTCAGGTTGAGATTCCCCTTTCATGCATACTAGACCGAGATATCTGCATTTCCGGCGGTGCTGGAAAATTCTATCCGACCCACGGGTCTAGATCGCTTACACATGCAGACTGGCCGGGGAATTGTAGCAACCTTTCGGGGTCACACTATTATTCGTGATGTCATTTTATGACGTTTTCGGGTCAGTCAGGGTCATTGACGTCACTAACAATTGCCATCTCAGGGCCTCATATGCAAATGAGAAATGTGCGGACAGTTTACAACTTTACTAGAAGAGCAGCTGTTTTTATAGGTTTTAGGTAATAAGCAAGAAATAGAATCCATCCCCGATATAAGGTAGGGATAAGGTTATTCAAACCCTCGGGATAAAATATTGAACAGGAGATCCAAGGCTTTGCCCTTGGGTTTGAATAACCTTATCCATACCTCACATCAGGTATGGATTCTATTAATCTCACATCCCAGTGGCTGAAAGATTCTATTAATCTTTTTCCCTAGCAAAAACGGTGACGTGCGAGAGAAAAACGTTTTTCTTTGGATACCATAGATTTTAGGATTAAAAATATTAATTTGAAATTCAGAATGAAACGTTTGAAGACGTTTACAACTAATTCTCATCCAAATTTTTCACTAACATCTTAATTATCCATTGATCTACAAATGTATGAAATCATTGTAAATTACAGCCCTGGCACAAAGTTTTCAAAAGCTGTGAGGATAAAACAGTTCACAGCATTTGTATTTAAACATCCAAATCAATCAACAAAAAACGTAAAAAAAAAATACTTGTTGGTAATAAGAGACGCATTAATGCAGCAATTATTTACACACAAATCCACTGGGATGCCATTTGCCATTTCCCACAATTCTCAAGGGACAAACACAGATCACTTTGATCAGAGTCCTTTAGATGTTTGTTGTGATTGATTCTACTACAAACAGTTTGACCTTTAGTTTTTATACTTTGTCAGCTTAACCAATCTTAAAATAAACATTTCAAAACAATTATTTTATCAAACATAATACATTTCTGTTTTGCACTTGTTGTTAAAGTATGTGGTTAGATGACAGATATCTCCACCCAAAAAAATACCAACAAAATATTTGGAGAAAACATTACACCAGATGCAAAATTAGTATTTTATTCTAAATCAAAGCTGATGAGGATTGTAACAGCTGGAGTCAGATATCCTTTAGTTCAATAGAGCAAGTCAACACATCAGTTAAAGGTCACGGGAGCTACCACTGTAACAGTAAACCAGTACAGACTGTACATGTATAAGTAAGGTCACGGGAACTACCACTGTAACAGTAAACCAGTACAGACTGTACATGTATAAGTAAATCTGAACAATATCACAGCTAACATGTTAGAAGCATCAATGAGATTTCACCAAAGAATGATTTATTTCATATATATATCAAAACACTTTTGTCATATAGGCCAGTCAACAACTCAAGTTGCAATATGCTTAAAGCGTCCTCAATTCTGCTCCTTCAGAATACAATATGAAATGTGGG